CTGGAAAAGCAAACAGGATCTATTAGAGCTCTGTAATCACTTTATTCAGCAACTCAATTATCATAAAGTAACTAACATCGGCACCAAATTACACGTTCATCTTGATCAATAGGTCATGAATTCTAAAAGCTGACAGCAGCTTGCAACTCCTGCAAGCAAAACCCATCACCCTGGTAGTAAAGTGACCTGGGACAATTAGGATTTCAGTAATGGAACAATGTGCTGACAATTTTGTTCACTGACAGCACTTCAAATTTAACAAGCAGTTTCCTGAAATTCTCACTCTTGCAGTTAAAGAATTTTGGAGTTTGAAATATTCAGCATCTTTCAGCTACCACGGGAGAATAAATAATCAAAGTATTTAAAAACACGGTAGTTTTACACCAAAACAGCATACCTTCATGTAATTCACTATTTTAGCAAGGACTCCAAACTTGTAGCCAGAGCCTCCTGAAAGGGCTTTCAAGTTAAATGATCCATTGCTGTGATCTACAAAGGGAAAAAACAAACAATTTAACGATGCTTCAACACCACCCTGCTGGTTCTGAGCTCTGTCTCCTTCTCACTCTACTTTCAGAAGGTTTCAGAATGACATCTATTGACAGAAAGGTGTGTGGCAGGAGCAGACACCCTCGGGATTCTGTCCTAGCACACGTGTTGATCCAGATCCAGTCGGTGGACACGGCTCTGGAACATTTCTGAGCAGAGCTCCACAAATAAAAAGTTCCCTGGGACTTGACCTTTAAGACAGCAGCAAGTGACTGCAGCGTTATGACCATAAGAGAACATGTTTAATTCGGTGGCTTAACATCCCATAATCATTTACACTACATTAATCCAGGCTGAAATAATGCACTGCATTGGCTCTACTGAGATAGCTGAGATGGGGGCAGAAAGTTTCCCTTCTTCCCAGAAGGCATTCAATGGTTACACAGCAGGTAAAGGAAGGCTGTGATTTTTTTTTTTTAATTTGTTTACTGTTTAAAGTAGCTGTAGTGGAGAAATTTATTAAACAGACCTCTATAAACTCAAAACAATTCAACCTGGTGTGTTTCAACCTGGTGTGTTACACCACTGGAACAACAACTCAGAATCCCCTTTGTTGTCAAATCTTTATCACGTTGTTTCAAAAATTCTTGCAAGGTCGTTAATGACCATTTCATTAACTTCAGCTCTTAGCACAGCACATTGAACACAAATATCCACAAACCACTATCACAAGCCACAGGCCCATTTACCAGCACAGGGTTGCTCAAACCTAATGGCAACAGCTTTTGGGAGTTTCAGCTACTCCAGGAAAAGAACATCTCTTCGTCACCACGGGAATTTTTTAATCCACTGGTAATTTCTAAGCACATCTGACAGGACAACAGGTATCTCAAAGATACCGAGCTCCTACTATTTCCGTGGAAAAATCAGCGGAGGGTGAGAAAAAAAACAGAATTCTGTAGCTGACATTGTGTTAAGAGGCTTCACATAGCACAACAATTCTAAAATTAACATAGAAGAATCAGTGTAACTCCAACTGCTGCAGAACGTTTTATTCTGGTTACTAAATTAAGACTGAAAAAAGGGAGAAAAACAAAAGCCAGCTTCCTCTGAAAAGACATCCCGTAGGGATTTTCCCCCGCAGGGTTCCCTTTTAACATTAAAAATTAATGTCTATGCAGGATATTTTATAAATAGATAAAAATCATATGTGTAACTTCAAACAGTGAAGTGATTAAAATAAATTCAGAGGTAACACAAACAGTTAAGACAACCCATCATGTCTTTATTCTGTCAATTGAATCGGGAAGATTATCTTGTTTAATCTGCCTGGCTACAGCCTGCTACAGTTCACGACAGGGGAATCTAAGCACACGGGGAGGCTGGAAATCTGCAGATATTAACACTTCAAACGTCACGGTCTGATGGCTGACTCCAGCACAAAGCAAAGCAGGGTCGTGGCCACCGCTGCACTCCCAGCACGCTCTGGAGCTCACCGCGTCCCAAAAAACAGGGGCGGGGAGGGTTCTGTTTCTTATTCCAGACTGTAAGAGTCATATTTATGAATGATTTGCTGCTGGGGTTGAGGGCTCGATGCAAATGAGCACAAAGGAAGTTGTCAGCAGCATCGTGCTCCGGCCAATGGTAGGAAAGCTCCATCTTAGCTGTGCCATAAGGCTGCACTAAAAAAAGGGACCAGAACGGCGCTCTCGCAGCATCCTTTCACTGAGAGGTAGGTGTGTATCATTTTATAACGTTCTCTTAGGTTTATCTCGATTACTGAAAGAAAATATGCCTCTAAGCTACGAACCTGCAAAAGCTGCTTGGAATCAGGGTGATTTTTTCCCTGGGTTTGAGCAGGGTTTAATCCCGCTGAACGCGGAGGAGCTTGTCTTGCACGATCAGACAAGCACTTTCACCATCTGTGCACTAATGGAAAATTGATGACCACTCCATCTTACAGCAAAGCTAACACCAGCAGCCAAGATTCAGTAAACAAAATGGATTTCACCCTTGCAGGGGAGGTGGCTCGTTTCCTGCAGCCTCACGTTGCCCGTGATTGATTCTATATGTTTTTAGAGAAACGCCAGAAAGGCTTTTCCTTAAAACAAAAGACAGCTCGACCTGGAACGTGAGAAATGCTACCTCCCAGGGGGTATTCCGTAAATTAGGCTGCCTAAAAGAGGTCTGTGTGCGTGGATGTGGGAGAAACGTGTTCTAGAAATGTGTTATATCGGGGTAGGGTGAAAATCCCGTCGCGTGTTATTACCTTTGGAATATCGGAGCAGCCACAAGGCAAACGGGCAGGTTAGAGCCCATCTGAGATTTGTAAATGCTTTTACCTCAAGATGTCTTTTCAGTGGTTGCTTAAACAGGACTTCCCCAGTACTGCATTAAAAGGATTTTTTGCCAGTCATTTCCCTCTGCTCCATGAATACGGTTTCAAATAAAGCTGCTCCTCTGCAGTGCCTAAAGATGGTAATGCTTTTAAATTAAAACCCAGTACAGATATTAGAGGAACCAGTTCATTAAATATTTAACTCCCTGCATTTTGGGTACATATAATAGCTAGGCTTGATTTCAAATCAGACTGGCTGATGATGTGTATTTGAACTGTGTCCTTACAAAATAAGTGAAACTGCAGGAAAACAGCCCATTTTTGACAGCTTTCAAGGACATTAACCTTAGTGCTGTGGTAATTCTGAACATCCAGCAACAGCTACTTCAGTCATGTATTTTAATAATTACAGTTATGAGTAGCTAATCTTTATCTGCCTTGCTTTATTCAAATCTAAGGAAATCATCATCATCCTCAAGGGGCACAAACCACCTCCAGCAAGGCATTAAATTCCACCTCCTGGATTAAAGATGAGTGTGCCCTAACGGTGGCTGTGGAGTGGGAAGGGGGGTGGATGCTGCACTGTGCCTGGCCAGCCATGCCGTGCCCAAGATGGAGAAAAAATACTAAAAATAGTAAATTTTGCATCACATGAACAGTTCATTTTTGTGCCCATGTGTTTACAGAACGAGCAAACTTACATGTTACAGATTCCAGCAAAACCCTCAGTCTTAGAAATCTGTTTACAAAGTTCGAAACAAAACTGCTTTGTTTCCCAAGAATATCCTCTTGCCATTTAAACTACACAATTAAATCCTAGTTATTTTAACTACTCCTCTAAGGGGACTCCAAATCCTTTTACTCAGCCCTCCCTCTCTCTCACAAATTTTCAAATAAGTCTTCAGGTCACCCCTTTAAAAACCCTCCTGACTTTTAGCCCCAAACAGTTTCCTTCCCAGACTGTGACCAAATCAAGCCAGGACCTGACTCAACTCAGGAGTATTTTTAGTTTGGGTTTGCTCTCTGTAAACTTTTGTTTAAGAAAAAACCACCAACAAACAGTTTCGTTAATCCTACCCATCTCAGTCATACTTTGTATATTCAATTACTAATTTGTGTATTCAGTTACAGATTTAACAGAGGAAACAGTAAGTTACTGCAACTGCTCCAGTAAATGTCTGTATGGAATGCTAATGCCAGGTACCTTCCCAACCCCAAAGGTGTTCTGTTTCAATTTAAATCCATTAAAGACAGAAGGACAAAGAACAAAATGTATAATATTTGAATGATAAAAGTAAGACACAGATAGCAAGCTGGTTGGGCTGCATCATCCTAGTTTTCACTATGTACCTTTTTTTTTTTTAAATAATTCCACAGAAATGAGGACAGGTGCTTAGGCTGCTTAAAGTCAGCTGCTTTAGTACACACCTCCATCACCATGCTCCACCTAAAAACTCCTGGCTATTTCCTCAAGGAAGTACAGAGATCTGACTCCATCTCTTTCTCCCACACCCAGTTTTAAATTGCCTGAGGGATTCAAAGGTTATTATGACATCCTACAGCACACCATGACAGGCAACCAGGAGTTACTGTGGCTCCTTGGACAATTCTTACTACATAAGACTATAAACCAAAGGCAGATTTATAAACCAAAGCCAACTTTTGCTTCATCTCTCCCCACATCCCCAAGCAGCCTCTTCTGCTGAGTGCAAACACACAGCACTGGAGCCAGGGAGACATTCCTTCCCCAGAGCTGAAAATAAGAAATCAGAACTCCTCAGAAAGGGTTGGGTTTTCCTTGGTATAAATCCCAATGACCACGGCAGCACAAATGGGATTTCCAGCGGTCGAAACCACTGTACACCTTGAAAATTTTCTTTGTAACTTTTCTGTCTGTGCACAGAACTTAAATAAAGAAGCCAAGCTCCCTCATTCCTGAATAACTCACACCATGTGATGCCTGCACAGAGCAGACACTGCCGAAATAAACGTTCCAGACCAATCGCAAAGTTGTGCATTTGGAGTGTGACACTTCTGTGAGCAAACATGAGCATGCAACCATCCATGGCTGTAGGAGGTGTGAGCACTTAGTCTGAGCTGAAGTTCTTATAGTTTGTGATAAAAAAAAAAAAATCACAGCGTGTCCTTGACTGACAGTCCTCAACAGCTTTGGTTTTGTGTTTCAGCCCCCAAATCTGTGACGGCGAGCACGCTAAGACAACTCCTGAAGAATGGCAACCCTCAACAGCACTCACTGGAACGAGACTACGTCCATTTCCCAGTATCTGGGCTTCCAGGTGCAAAAAATTTACCCTTTCCATGACAACTGGAACACTGCCTGCTTTGTTATCCTGATCATATTCATCTTCACTGTGGTTTCTCTGGTGGTGCTGGCTTTCCTCTATGAACTGCTGGACTGTTGCTGCTGTGTGAAAAACAAGACTGTGAAAGACTTGGAGAACGAACCCAATCCTGTCAGAGCCATGCTGAACAGCTTCAGGAAGCGTGAAACAGAGGTGGTGTAGGAGGGACTGAGCACCAGCACTTGGAGAACGTTTGACACCGTGAATGAAGCCTCTTGTACCTTACAAATGAGCAAGTCACGTGCTTTTTTGATTTGGTCTTAAATATAACAGGTTGTAATTTTATCTCTGGATGTGAACTGGAACAACTGGCAAAGGCTTTCCAAGTGTTTAGCAGAAGGACAATCTGTTGCAGTGTTATGGGGGAAGAAAAGATTTTTGGTTTTAAATGAACTTTTGCTGTTTATATTGAGTGACTAGCATAGAATTTTGTCTACCTGACTGAACAAATGTTGCCTCATGTGCATAAATCTGTGTTGCTTAACCGGAGAAAACGTTTATAAAAATGCTCAACAGTCTGATCACACACATTGCAAAGACACAGCAGTGCCATCCCACCAAGTCAACTGCACAGAGACAGGACAGACAGACCAGGGGTGAGAAAAGACATGGGAGAGAAGGGTGTGGATGGCAAGAGACCCCTCAGACAGGACAGCACTAGGTGAATTCTTGCCTTTGGCAGCACTTCTTATTATAGGTTTCTTGTTTTTAGAAGAGACAGTGGCGGGTGGAAAATTAAGCCAGTGTGAAATGTATCCCTAACATGGTCTTTTCTAACCTCCTGTGGTAGTTTGACCCTCTCCCTCTCCTCCAGTTCTCCAGTTCCAGAGAACTGTTCTCCCTTTATTCCATATTCAACCTGGTCAACAATTTCTGGGTGTCGAGACCTGAGAAACCCCCTTCCTTCAGAATATCTGCCCCTTTCCACAAAATCCTACGGCAGTGGTACCACTGCTGAGGAGAAACAGGGACACTCCTCTGCCCCAAGGCTGCTGCCTCTGTGGCAACCACAGCACTACAGGGGGTCTGGCAGCAAACTGAAGTCCTGCCAGGAGGGAAACAAACCCACCTAAATGGCAAAAAAAAAGTGACCTCACAGTCCACCACGTCTGAAATTCCTTTGTGCTATGGCCAGTACCTATAATTACCTCTTTTTTTTGTTAATGCATCAACTCCCTCTCTCAGGGCGAGCACGCCTAAGCTCCAGAAGATCTGGACACAGTGGAAGACATGCTAATTGACTTGTGCTGCTCCTGGTTGGTGAGATGGAGTCGCCAGACACCCAGGGCACTGCAAACCAGCACAGCTAGTCCAGTGATTCACCTGGAGAAGCAAACTCCCTTCTGCAGCCACAAAACAACACAATGACCGCTGCAACCGTTCATCTCAGATGCGCTTCTTGCAACAGTGAAGCTTTGCCAGAACCAGCCCCACGTGCAGAGAACACTCTGAGATAAAAATCCAACTATAAGCACAATTAATGGAAGCTCATGCCCCAAGTACAAGATAATTTAGGATCCACGCCAAGACTTATGATGAAGACATCAGCGGTGGTAATCACGACCTTCTGCTGCGTGCGGCAGCATCAGCCTGGAATAACCAGTGACCGGCTCAAGAGAGGCCCAGAGTAGCCATTGGGATACACTGAATTAATTGGCACTTCTCTTTCCAGAAAGAAAACGCTGTGGACACTTGCAGCATTCCCACCAGGTGCCCACCATGGCTGCACACAGGAAGGCAGCGTGCAGGAAGCACCACGGTCGGCCTCTGCTGCGCTGGCACCGCGTTCTTACGCCCTCCCGAGAAGCACACGGAATGACAAACCCTGGGACCCATTCCAGCTATTTATTCCCCAGGTCTACAAAGGTGAATGGGTGTCTGCACAAGGAACAGAAGGCAAAAGTCTCCCCTTGCACAGCCCTAGAGACTCAGGATGATTCTTTCCCATGAAACAGCCCCTGGAGATTTCGGCTCTGGACTAGCATTGGCAAAGACCACCAAGACAAAGGTCTTAAGATAAAGACCACAGCCATGACTTACTGTTCATTAATAAAATGGAACAAACAGCTTGGATCTATTTCGTTTATTTTGCAGTTACTAAATCTGAACTGAATAAACAAGGCAGCTTTGAATTTTTTCAAGTAACTTGCTGGAATAAGGATTTTAAATAACAATAGTAATCACACCACAGTAATCACTGTAGGAACAGTGGGAAGGTTAGAGCCAGTCTTCACATAGGGGCCAGATTTAGCTATGCAGTCATCTGAAGATTAGCAAGATCTTCACACCTCTCCTCCCCCAAAAAGTGACCAGGGCAGGTTCTCTGAGTCACAGAATCACAGAGCAAGGATTCTGAGGGTGTTACATATCAGTGCAACACACATTTATCATCTTTGTAGTCACTACACAACAAAACTAGGACTGATCATATTAACTTTTGTTTCTTTGGAGAGGTTTGTTTCTTTATTCCACCTCCCCAGACCCACCCTTGACACCTCCACATGCCAACAGGCACCTGCCAGTCTGACAATTCAAATATAAAGCGGGTTTTGAAGCAAAGGATTTGGACTCTGCAGCATAAAAATCTAACAGAAACCTTGAAACCTTTCTGATACTATCTGGAAGGAAGCCAGCAGCATAAAAGATCAAGTGTGGTTCCTCCCAGCCACACTGTGTCCCTGTTTGTGTAAGCTCATTGTCTGACAGCCGCAAAAGCACTCAAAGTAACTCTCAACCCACAAAACCACAGAAACAAAATTAAAGCTTCTTCATCTGCTCCAGTCCTCCAGATCAGACTCATATTTGAACCCTCCACCCTCTTCATGCCTCCCCATTCCTTTTTCCCTGCTAAATGCTCTCGCTCAGGAGACACAGCTTAGGGTAGCCCACTTGGAATTTTATTTTATTTGGAGAGCATGGCAAAGGGATGGATGGAAAACTGGCCTCCCCTGATTTATTTTAGCATGTCTGGCTGATAAAGTTTATTTGGGGCCTGAGAAGCTGCAAATACAGACTCACACTCCCTGCTCTTCCCCTCAGACAGAAGATACTTGACTCCTCCCACCATCCTTGACTTTTTTCTCCATTGTTTTAAGCTCCGTCATTTCTTTTAGAGTCTAAGACAGAGCCACGTGTTGTGCAAACTCATGTGCTTGCACAACAGGATATTTTGTGCTTTTAGTAACTCCTCACGTTTGATCGGACCTTTAGAGAGCAATTAAGAACTGCCACCGCTTTCAGAGCAAATCCTCTCCCCAGTGCACTTTCCACATGCTGCCACTATTTTGGTGCTGCTTTATTAACTTCTTATTTGATACTGAGACATGCATTACCAGTGCCACCATCCCAGGGAAACGACGCAACTCCTGAGCAAAGCAGGCAGAAACCTCTGGAGGCTCCCAGGTAAAACAAGGACAACTGCTAATTACAACACGCAAGCCAGACAAGATGTACCTTGCAAAACCCATCCCATGCATGGATACCCCTCAATTTACAGTTTGCTAAACGTTTTAGCTGCTCTCTTGCCAGAAATAACCATAGAATCACAGAATGGTTTGAGCAGGAAGGGACCTTAAAGCTCATCCACTTCCAACCCCCCGCCATGGGCAGGGACACCTTCCACTAGACCAGGTTGCTCCAGGCCCCATCTCACATAGCAAAGACAGAGAAAATGAACGAAATCGCTGTTCCTGCTTGTCCAGCAAGCACCAAAATCCACAAACCAAAGCCCAGCTTCACATGAATTACTTTGGCAGCAGCAATTCATCCAAGTCACCAGAATGAGGCTTAACACATATGCACTGTAGGGAATGTCTTTTTTCACATCGTGCAAGCAAATTCCTTAAGAAAAAGCACTTATTTAAGAGAAAGAATGGCAGCAGCCACCAACCATACTCACAGATGTGGTGTTATTCACATTAATAAACCATAGCTTAAGAGGCAGGCAGTGGGAAACACCAAGCAGCTGCCACACAGCAGATCCTCACCCACCTGAGTTTTGTTTCGAGCTGGAGGAGCCCCCTTGTTCTACCTTGGCTTTCTTCTTCTTGGAGGCAGAGGAGTCCGAGGACAGCGCCGGGCGTTTCTCTACCGCCGGCGTGGAGAGGGCTCGCTTTTTGAACAGCTCCCGCTCCCTGAGCAAGCTGGGATCCATGGCTCTGCCACGGGAAAGAGGCCAGAGACAGGTGTCCGGGTCAACAAGGTATTTAAGAGCGGAGGCATCTGTTTATCGCAGAACGTGCCGAGTTGAAAAAGACGCATTAAGGGTCGAGTACAACTCGGCCCTGCGCAGGGCATTGCAAGAACCCCACCGTGTGCCCGAGAGGGTCGTCCAAAGGCTCCCTGAACTCTGCCAGGCTCGGTGCCGGGACCGCTTCCCCGCGGAGCCTCACGGAGCTGGTTATTTCTTGTTCCCATCCTCCTCCCGCTGCGCGAGGACTTAGAAGCACAAGGACTAAGGTGGCAGAGCACCACCGGGACCCCAGGGGCGGAGAATGGGATTGCTGAGTGCGCCCACGGGGGTGCGGGAGAGGCGGCCACCGGCACCCACCGCCCGCGTTAGCGGGGGGGGGGGAAGCGGCGCAGGGGACAATGTGGCAGCGCGGCCGGAAACCACCGGCCCGAAGGGCGCCCGGCTGCCCCGATACGCGCGGGCAGGAGGTTGGGAAAGCCGCCCGCGTCTCCCTCCCCCGATCATCTCCCCGTCCCAGTCCCCGCTCCCGTCCCGGTCCCCTCCGCGCGCCCCCCCTTACCCGCGCGCCGCCGCCGCCGCCTAGCGGGCCATGCCGCTCCCGGCAGCCCCCGCGCGCGCACCGCCCCGGAAACGGGCGGGGCGTCGCCATGGCAACGCAGGCCCGCCCGCCATTAACCCTCTCGCCCCACACACGAAGTTACTTATTTACATATATATAGATATAATTTTTAATTAATATCGGATTTCACACAGTGAAAAAAGCATAAGGGAGGGGGAAGAGAGAAAGAGTGGGATAGGTGCACTTAACCCCCCCTATAAGGAGGCAAGAGGCCATGCTGATAATGCTCATGATATAAAAAAAAAAAGATCATCTTGATTTCCCCGTTCAGCTGAAAATCCCTTTTCTGGTTTCCGTTTTGCATTTCTTGGTCTGGGTTACAGGTAGAACTGTTGCTGCTGCTGAGGTCCCAAACCATTCTGGCACCTTCCTCTTGGGAGGAAAATGAGAGTTCTGGAAAGAAATTAATAAACATGGAAGGAAACACACAGTAAACAGGTTGTCTCAGTTACACAGCTCTACTCCTCAACT